AAAAATAAAAAAAAAAAAAAAAAAAAAATATATATATATATATATATATAAAATTAAAAAAGAAAAAAAAGTCTATCGATATGGCTAATATTTGAGCGACACTAGTATTTAAAAATTTGTCGTCCATAGTTTCCCATTTCATATCTGATTTCCGTGCTTTCAAGGAAAAACCAACTCTCCATATGGATGCAATGCCACGTGGAGTTACGTCATTCGCTGACAGCGATGCAAAGTAATTATCTGCTGTGCTTAAACCTACGTGAGCCCGCCGTAAAATAAGTACGGAAAAAATGTTAAATCGTCGAAAATACCTCTGAACTACTTTATTTTTAATTTAGAAAAAATCTCATAATTTTAAAATTTTATTAATACAGTATTTTGTTAAAACTCAAATGGTTAGAATTTGCCAACTTTAAAAACTTTGTTAATATCACAAGACTAAATAATAATAATAATAAATATTCTTACCATTGACATTTAAAAAAAAAAAATAGAATTACTAGTTCGTGGATTTAAAAATATTAAAAATATTAAGAATATTTAACATTTATAATCCGTGTCAGTGATGTCTTGCAGCTTGGGAATGTTTAATATTTTAAGTTTTATGAAGTTTTAGTTATTAATATAAAGTATTGTAGATAAATATAATTTTAAGTAATTAAAAAAAAATAATTCAATGAACCCAATTCAATCCAAGTCGAAAATAGAGATTGGGTTGAGTTGGGTTGAATTGTAAACTCTATTCGAGTTGTTCACCAACCAAAGAATAATAAAGCCACCAACGAACCTTAGGACTTAAATGTTGTAACAAGATTATGCGTGAGTAGTTAAATACGGGACAACATGCTCCTCTGGTTAAAACAATCCTAAAATAGTCCTAAGGTTCTTTTAGATACTGCATTTAAAAAATACATTTAATACCCATAAATTTTAAAAGTAACATTAATACTTTTTTATTTTTGTAAACAAAATTCATATCAATATTATATGAACGAAAACTGTCTATTGACACTTCATAAATTACCAACTAACATTTTAATATTATTTTAAAAAGTTTAGCTGTATTTTTAAAACACAATAATAAATATATTTTTTATTTTTAAATATATATATATATATATATATATATATATAATTATTTGTAGTTGAGGGATATTTTATTAATAATTTTGAAATTTTTTCAAAAATTTATTAAAGAAACTTTTAATAATTTTGAAATATTTTAAAAATATGTTGGAGACAAAATATAAAAAGCGAAATAAAAGATCTCGGACATTTCAAAGAGCAACAGAAATATTACCACCCAATTGGGGCCCACGGGAGCCGCCTAATCTTTCTTTCATTAGATCGTACGGTCTAAACAATGCCACGTGGTGCACGACGTTGAAGCCAACGTGGAAGGGGAGGTTGCTTAGTGTGGCATTTATCGAATTTAGTCAACGCGGAAAACAATTTGAAAATAGAATGGCAATCATGTAAAAAAGAAGATATAATAGGGGCATTTGTGGAAACTGGTTTTAATGGCCCAGCTTCTTTCTTCTCGTTCGAGTGTTGGTGAAGAATATTTTATTCTCAACTTCGCTAATTCTAAAGAAAGGGAAATTTCGAGTTATACAGTCTGAAGATTGAGCTTCTGTTTCTAAAATCATCGAACGAAAAAGGAAGTGAAATCTGTTGAAGAAAACTGAAGGAAAAGGTTTTTTAATTTCGTTTTTCGTATTTGTATTTGTTTTTAATTGTCTTGAATCGAAGGTTAAGTGTTGGAAAGAGTGAATGAACTAAGGGAAAGTGGAAGAAATTTAGTTTGTCGAGCTTCTCGTGGAGGCAGTACAATTGTTTAGTACTCAAACCTTCTCGGGAGGTTTGAGACATGGTGTTTCTTTCGTGGATTGCTCTGCAAATTCATCAGGTACTCCGATTCATTATGGTTCTATTCTTGTATGTGGATCTAATTGAATTTTTTGGGGATTCTTGCTTGATCTGATGTTGATTAGTGTGACAATATTTTTATTGCTGTGAAATTTATGTTCGTTTTGTGTGTGGTATTGTAATTGGGTTCTCGCTGAGATAAATCTGAAGTCTATTGTAAACCTAATGGAGTGTTCATGATCTTAAAATATATAGACAGAAATGAATTTTGGGGGGAGGGGGAGGTATTGAGATGGTGGAATCAAAATGTCTTCAATCATATAAACAATTAGCCGACCTCTTCGTTGTCTGGTTCTTTTGTGTTGACTACTCAAGACTAGAGTATTTTCGTTTGTTTCTAATGGATTGACACGGCTCTGATTGTACAGATCTTTAGTTTTTTGTTTGACTTTATCGGATGAAGGAATTAAAGAATGCAAAGCATTTATGAATTGCTGTGTGGATTAACAAGTTCAAGAAAATCGATTATTTTGAGTCTACGAATCACAAAATCTTAAGTGTGGTACATTTTTCAGTGACGGTATCATACACATTCAAATTCTTCAGCATGCATGTGTCAAACCCTCGATGCTTATTGTTTGATCTATTTTAGAAAACTGGTGTCCGTAAAAAAAAAAGTATAAAAGAGAAATATTAAATATTGAGAGTGAAAAACATTCAAATTCTCGTATCTGTGTCTGAACTTCTTGGCTGGAGCGAGTAGGTTACTTCAGTGATAGCTTAGTAACTTTGGGGGTCTGTATATGCCTTCTTATGGAGCCAAATCTTTTTCAGGATCTAGCAAACAATCTAGAGCACATATCTATCTATTCCTGGATACCTATATGTATCAGATCATATCTGGAAACTTCAGTTGTTTTCCATATAAAAACCTCTTGTTTGCAAATCAGTATGGTTCAGCTAATTTTGATAGTTTGTACTATTTCTGATGGTTTTTTTTAATATATATTCTCCTCTTGGTATTCTAGAGCTAGCAATCTGATTTTCAAGCAACTTTTCCCTGTTGGTTTCTCACTGGTGGAGCTCGTTCAAGTTTGGCCGAGTTAAATATAAAGTTATCAAGACATGATGATATGGAATAGTCAAGAAATGACCAGTTCCAGTGCATGTCCATGCAATATGGATTTGGGGCATTCCAGCCTGCATCTAAATCATTCGTAGGGGACCTTGTGAGCATTGTTAACATGCAAGGTGCTGGAAGAACCGTGGACCTTAGGATGTCAGAAGTTAAGCCTGTCCTTAATTACTCCATACAGACAGGTGAGGAGTTTGCTTTTGAGTTCATGCGTGACCGAGCAAATTCCCAGAAACTACTCACATCAGACCCGGTTGGTGACCCTAGTTGTGCATCAGGTTATATGGATTTAAAAGGAATTTTAGGCCTTAGTCATACTGGGTCTGAATGTGGATCAGATATTTCAATGATTAATTCAATGGAAAAGGGATCAAATGATTTTGAGCGAAGAAACTCTATACATGGAGACAAAAATAGGCATGGACCAGCTCATCAAAAATCACGCGAGCCAACAGGATTTCATAGTGGTCGCGGAGTTGCTCTTGGCTACACTTCCTCAGGAACCTCTGATAGCTCATCAGCAAAAATGAAAGTCCTCTGCAGTTTTGGTGGGAAAATTTTGCCTCGTCCAAGTGATAGTAAGCTGAGATATGTTGGGGGAGAAACACGCATCATTCGGATAAAAAAGGACATCTCTTGGCAGGAGCTTATGCAGAAAACATCATCAATCTATAATGAAACGTATGCAATTAAATATCAGCTTCCTGGTGAGGACCTTGATGCTTTGGTTTCAGTTTCTTGTGATGAAGATCTCCAGAATATGATTGAGGAGTGTAGTGAATTCAAAGATGAAAAAGGATCCAAAAAACTTAGAATTTTTCTGTTTTCAATGAGTGATTTGGATGAAGGGAAGTTTTCTATGGGTAATGTGGATAATGACTCTGAGATCCAGTATGTTGTTGCAGTCAATGGCCTGGACGGTGCTTCAAGAAAAAACTCAAACCTGCATGGCGTAGCAAGTTTTTCTGCCAAGAACCCAGATGAGGTAGATGGACGGAGCATTAAAAGGGGTACAGTTCTTGAGGACTTGGTTGGTGTCAATGCATTGGCCTTAGCTGGTAACAATGCCTCATCATCCTTGCAGTCCTCACAACCTGTTCGGGCTAATGCCTCTAGTGCTTATGAAACCTTTGTACAGTCTTGTCATGAACATATGATGAATCATGAACCTATGGAAATTCACCAAGGTCATGAACTTGTAAATCAGCAGGGAGTTTCTCATGAGCCTCAAGGACAATATCCAGAGATATCATCAACACTGTTGAAGGGTAAGTTAAATGATTCATATGAGAAAGAGATTCATCCTGAGAGTGGCTGCTTCTCAAATCCCTCTCATTTGTTTGATGGCAATTCAATTTCTAATAATACTTCCAATAAAAAATCAGCTCCAGAGCTCCAGGGTTCTGAAGGATTTTATTCAATGTCTGTTTCTGGAAATCCTATAGTTTGTGGATCGAGTGATATGGATAATATGATTCATAACTTGCCATCAAATGCATATACTCATGGTTATATGGACAGTGAATCAAAGATAGTTGATTGGAGTGTCCTTGAGCCTCCAGCTGCTGCACAAAGAGTGTATTATTCTGAGAGAATTCCTAGGGGGCAGGAGGAGTTACTGAATCGGTCATCAAAGTCTGATGATACACATGGGTCCCAATTTCTAATCTCTCTCTCACAGACTGATCAGGACCAGATTCCAGAATCCATTGTCAAATTGCAAGATAGTAGTAATTGCCAAGCTGAAAATTCCATTCCCATGGAAAAACCATCACATGCTGCCTCTAAAGTCAGGAATGATGAGCTTCCTCAACTTCAAGATGGCAGAAATATTAATGAGGCAGTTAGTGGAAGAAATTGGAATATTTCACATGATGGTGACGATGATTTGAAGTTACAGAACAACTTTGATGTTACACGTGATTCAAAAGTAGATGGGATTGTTAAGGCTGGCAAGGAGCTTAATTTCCCTGTGAATAGCAATGAGAAACTTGCAGGTCAAGTATCTTCTGTACACGAGGATTCTGCATTGGGTCCTTTACAGCTCAACTTGGGTGAGGTTGTTGGAATGGAATGTACAGACTATAAAAGTCTTCAGCAAGCTCAGTTAGCTTATAAGGAAGGAAGTTTAATTAACAATGTTTCTGAAAAAGCATCCGGAGGCATTGTTTCCAAACCAGTGCAAGGAGACATTGTTATAGACATTGAAGAACGATTTTCTCGTGATTTCTTATCTGATATATTCTCCAAAGCAATACCTTCTGAGGATTCATTAGATATTAGCAGCCAACTGCAAGATGGAACTGGGTCATGTTTCCATAATTTGGCACAAGAAAAGTTTGTTCAGAATGATGTTTCTCTTATTGACCAAGATCACATTGGTTTTCCATCTGCTCCTAAGATTGTTGGAGATGACTTTACACCTTTAACAACTATAATTCATGAAGATTCCCATCTCGATTTTGGTGATGACCAGAAAGTGTTACATAGGATAGATGGAAATGACACCACTGATTTTCTTTCACATTATGATCATTCCCAACTGAATGGCATTGATAGTTCGCAGTTTGATGCTATGATGGAAAACCTAAAGACATTAGAGCATGGGCGTGAGGTACAGTTCTGTTTTCACTATATAGATCTATAATTCCTTTGTTTCATTAGAAAATTGACTCATAAACTGGGATGAGATTTTCAACTAAAATTTTTTCCTCTTGGCAGGGTGTTAAGGTAGGACACAAGGACAGTGGCTTACCTCCTCACGATCCTTCTTTGGGAAATTTTGATCTTAATACGTTACAGGTATGGTTCTTTGATGCTATTTAATATATGATATCCTCTTTTGCTGCCTGTAAATCACTTCTTCTGCCCCTTAAATCTCTACACATCAGTCCTGCTGTAAAACCATATGCTTTTCCCAATTAACTCTGGTTGCTTAATTTGAACCGAAGATCAATTTCAGATAGACTGGCATCTGTATATTAACTCCTTTTTCTTTCAGAATCTGTACTATGTTTGCACTTTGCTTACCTTCTGCATGCACATCTTAGATCATAATGAACGATGATCTTGAAGAGTTGAAGGAATTGGGTTCGGGTACTTTCGGCACTGTCTATCATGGAATGTGGAGGGGAACTGATGTTGCTATTAAGAGAATAAAGAAAACCTGCTTTATGGGTCGATCATCAGAGCTGGAGAGATTGGTAATTCTAATTGATTTCAGCTGTTTGTTGCTGCTGCATTATTGTTGTTGTGATCTATTATTTCTGAAAATTTTAAACATATCATTAGTTCCTGGCATTTATCGGGAAAAGAATTAAGAAATTATGATGCTATGTCTTGGGTGTTGTTTTTTCTCTACTCGTGGGTATATTGATGGTTTCTATTTGGGTTGACATTAAAACCGTCATTGAATTTTTTGTTCTCACTCTTTCCCTGTCATTTAATTTTTTTTCTCTCTCCCTTTCCCTATAGACTGTAGAGTTCTGGAGGGAAGCCGATATTCTTTCAAAACTTCACCATCCCAACGTGGTTGCATTTTATGGTGTTGTGCAAGATGGGCCTGGTGGAACATTAGCTACTGTGACAGAGTACATGGTTGATGGGTCCCTGCGACATGTTTTGCTCTCCAAGGATAAGTAAGAACCCAGATGTTGCTTTCTGGTTTTAAGTTCAGTACATTTTGGGATCGGTCAGGTTGTAAACCAAAATTATATCATTAATCCAGTAACTGAATCGATAGTTTTAAAGTGATAGACCTTGATATATGTTCAAGTTTATTTTCATCATTAATTTTCCCATTTTACAAATTTTAAACTTTCAGGCATCTTGATCGACGTAAGAGGCTAATTATTGCTATGGACGCAGCATTTGGAATGGAATATTTACACTCAAAAAATATTGTCCATTTTGATTTGAAATGTGATAATTTGCTGGTGAACTTAAAAGATTCTCAAAGACCAATTTGCAAGGTAATCCGAGTGCGTTTGTGCTATTTTCTCAAATGTCTATTCATTTAAGATATAATGTTTTTCTATGAACGAGTCACCTTCTATTTCAGGTAGCTGATTTTGGCCTGTCAAAGATCAAGCGAAATACCTTGGTGTCTGGCGGTGTAAGAGGAACCCTACCATGGATGGCACCCGAGCTACTAAATGGTAGCAGCAATAAGGTCTCTGAGAAGGTGATGTACAAGCGTCCTTGTCTTATTAAATGCACTATTAGAGAATTAACCAGAATTTCTGTCACTCCAGCTAGTTTTTTGAATCATAGAAGTTTGTCATGGCATGGGAATTTCTCAGTTGCTTGTATTTGGCTGTAAAATTTGAAAATGTTCCAAGTACTCTTGAAATTTGCATGGCTTTGTTTGCATGATTTAGTTTCAAATTAGAAAGCTTGAATTTTATGAGAATACATACATGGACACTTTATGCATATGATACGCTCACACATGCACATAGAATTTGAGGTCGCTTAAGAAATAATTCTGAAACTATCGTAGTTTGTTGATGTATATTATTGATGCACTGAAATGACATGGATACAATACTCTAAAGCGACTGTCCATTTGACAAAAGAACCGTTTGATATTCAGGTTGATGTATTCTCTTTTGGTATCGTCTTATGGGAAATTCTCACAGGAGAGGAACCATATGCCAACATGCATTACGGGGCTATCATAGGTAAGAATATCTAGTCTTTAACTTCTGTCTTGCAAAAAATATTTAAAAAATAAAAATAAAAGTACTGATTAGGATTTTTAACTTTATGTGCTAACCGAATTCAAACATCGTAAATCAAGCTAAGTTTTAGTTATCAGCAACAGTTCTTGTTTTATGGAAAGCCTATCCATATGTTCAGGGGGTATTGTGAACAGCACATTGAGACCAACCATTCCAAGTTACTGCGATCCTGAGTGGAGAAGGTTGATGGAAAATTGCTGGGCGCCAAATCCTGCAGATAGGCCATCCTTCACAGAAGTTGCAGGGCGGCTGCGTGTTATGTCAACAGCTGCTAGCCAAGCAAAAGCACAAGGTCCCAAAATACCAAGGTCATAATGTTTCAAATGGATTGTTTAGTTGTCAACATGGTTTCTTATATATTTGTTCATTCTATTCTACAGTCTTGGAGATTTGTGTGTATTTTTGTCAATAGAAGGTAGATAAGTGTTTTGGTGTGAAATATACTATTGAAGATTGAATATAATTCTTTATTATATTATAGTTGATATAGAAACTGATAAAAGGTAGGTATGGCATTGCTGCCATTGATTTTCCAAGTTCCTGGTTTCGGGCGGTTCGTAAATGAGTGATCCATCTACTCGCTTCAGGTATTTATGACTCATTCGAAGTTTTCTTGTTTGCTCTTTTGCCTTGGATATGGTTTCAGTGTTTAATTTGTCTATTTTTTTTTATTTTAATTTCTGTACATTTTAGTTTGATATTTCTAACTATTTTTTTTATATCTTAATTATAGTTTTCACTGTGAAATTTTTTATATGCTTTTCTTTTACAAGGGAAATAAGGGTTAAGATTTTCAATTTTTTTAAGTTTAAAGGTTAAATTTATAGACCCACGAAAGTATGCGAAGACAAGAACTATTTGCTCATTTTACATTTTCCTCCTGCTTCGCTATCTCCTCGAACATAAATCATCTTTGTCGTCTGGTCGAGAAGAGAGTCTCTTCATTCGGTGAAGATTCCTCTCTAGGTTCTTCTTGCAGCCATTGGAAGTTGGAACTTTATATTTTTAAAACACATTTAGTTCGATTTTATACTCTTTAAAGATTGGCTAATTTGATTCTCTTATTTGTTTTTTTTTTTTTCTTTATCTTTTTAGAAAGGTCTCCATAACATTTTATTAAAACGTCACTATGCAAATTTGTATTAAAATGAACATATAAGGATCTAATTGACCAAAAAGTGAAAAATATCAAAGACTAAAATAGCATTTAAATACAAAATAATATAGCATACGAGCTTTGATCAATTGAATTGATCGTTGTGACTTTAGTAAAAACATTTCAAAGAAGACGATATTCGGTATTACATTAGAAATATGCTCACCTTCTAAAGGAGAAAAAAGAGACAGACATGAACTAGGTTATAAAAAAATACAAAAGAAAAATCTGGCTAAAGACCCAAAAGCAATGAAACCACTAGGCAATAATAATAATCACAGATGTATTAAGTTAGTGAAATATCAAAATTTTGATGTGGTACAGATTCTCATACAGCTCCCAACTCCTTGGAACCTTTTTCTCTTCTTCTCTTTCTGCTCCTTTTCTTTAACAATCCTTTCTCTGCCAATGTTTTAAATTTCTGTTTCTTTCGTTCTTTCACTTTCTCCTCAAATCCATCATCCACCATCTTCATTGCTGCCACACGTCTTGCCTTGTATACCTGTGTACAAACGTTGCAAACATGAGTTCAACTCACTCAAATTCACTACTGGTATGCAGACAAGAAATGCTAAAATCCCCAATGTTGAGAAGTTTGTGTAATTTTAGTGTTTCGTATCTCTAGTGTTCGGTATCTCTAGAGCCTATGAGCTACTGAAACAGTGTCCCATCGTACCGACATGGCCGTATCTTTAGTGTTTGGTGTAAATTTACTGGTATTTGAGCTGAAAAATGACTGATACGACTGAAGAGATGAGAAAACTCACAGGTCTAGACTGAAACAAGTATCTAGGCTGATCTGATTACAGCAAATAATTGTTCCCATAAGTCATAACACTACAAAAACTATGCCGGTGAGATCGGTTAGAGAGGAGAACGAAGCTTTCTTTATTAAAGTCATGGAAACCTCTCCCTAGTAGACGCGTTTTAAAAATCTTGAGGGGAAGCCCGAAAGGGACAACCCAAAGAGAACAATAACTGCAAGCGGTGGACTTGGGCCGTTACAATACCTCTTAAAGAGTGATTTCCCCAAGAACAGATTTCTTCATCCACAACAAAGCAATTCACTAGGAAGCTCCATGATATGATGCACTAATTAGAGTGCAGGAATCTCGTTTTTCCTCAGTAACATGAACTCGACTTGTGAAGTCTACATGTTTCATTTCCACTTTTTAAAGGAAAACAGTAGGAAATCCGCATTCAGAAGTTAACAACTCAGATGAGATGAGTTATGAAGTTCAATTGGCAAACGGCATATAATACACTGAAAAATTCATTCATATTAGGGGGGAAAAAGGCCAAAGCATTACCTTTGTAACATTCTCAAGCACCTCATTCTCCTTGCATTCGAAAATCTCCAATTTCTTTCCTAGATTGGCCTCTATTTCATGAATAAGCTCCACATCATTCTGTATACGAAATTGACATTCATCGAAGGTAAGAAAAACACGAAAATCCAAGGAAAAAAAACTCTTGCTTGGAGCCATGAAAACAAAAACATTAGAATATACTACTTTTCAACATCTATATACCATGGAGATTATGAAATTGTAGTGACGAATCCGCTTTAACATCACAAGTTTCTTTCAAAATAGCCCTTGTGAATTGGAGAAGGTTGAATATGGAAGCAATAGCAAGAACAACTACTATGTTATGAAAATATAATACAAGCTTAAGCAGACTTACTATTCACTCCATATATAAAAAAAAAACAAGTTTATAGAGAAATTCCTTAACATTCGATGCGGAGTTCGTGTCCAAGAAACAAATTGAGTTAAAAAGTTATCCATCACTTCAGTAACACTCACCTGGGTAATGAAGCTCACAGCCAATCCATGTCTACCTGCTCTTGCAGTACGTCCCACTCGGTGAACATAATCTCTTGGAAACCTGAGTCAAAATGTTGTTAAATTAACATCACGAGCATTCTTGAAACATTTCTACTTAACCACATGAAATCAATTACCACCTTGGAATATCGTAATTTATAACAAGATCAACCGTCGGAATGTCCAAACCCCGACTAGCTACATCGGTTGCAAGCAAAACAGGAGCTTGTCCCGATTTGAATCGATAAAGCGCAGCAAGCCTCTCAGACTGTGACTTGAATGAATGCAACGCCGCCACATCTTGATCAAGTTCTTCGAGTAACAAACCTAAATGGTGACAGCTTCTGCATATAGTTTAAGAAAAGAGTAAGCAATGAGAGAGACGAGGAACAAGGAGAGGTGAAAGCCCAAAAAACATACTTGCAAGTGTGCACAAATATGATAGCTGATCGAACACCCATATCTTTCATTTTAGACATAATGTGGAGTAGATAAACATCCTTCACATTCTTCGGCAGGAATATATATTGCTGCTTAAGCATATCAACTGTCTTGAACCCTTCATAAGCCTCATAAAAGTATGCTTTGTTTGCAGAAAGCTCAAGGAGTGTTTCAAGATCCTTTGTCATTGTTGCGGAGAACAATAGAGTTTGACGATTTCGTGGCAAGCATTTGAAGATAACTTTCAATTCCTCTTCAAATCCAACATCCAATACTCTATCAGCTTCATCCAAAACTAGGAACTGGTGTATACAAAGATCAATAAGATATCAAGAACACAACCAGATTGGTATATATTTGCCTGAGAATTTCATGTTCTTGAAAGCTATGAGAACATGAACAATAAGAACAAGACAAGCAACGAACCTTAGTCTTGGAGAAGACGGCAGGGATATCAGGATTCTCCTCCAGCAATACCTTAACCCTCCCCGGCGTTGCAATTACAATGTGAGGTCTCTTCAGTAAACTCTGCGTCTGGTTCAACATATCCATGCCTCCGACAACCACAGAGCACCGCAAATTCAAGGAGGATCCGAGTGCCCTAAACTGCTCGGCCAATTGATAAGCCAATTCTCTAGTGGGAGTGACGACCAACGCGAAGACGCCGAAAGGGGTTTCCGAAAGCTGTTGAAGAATCGGCAAGGCAAACGCCGCAGTCTTCCCGCTTCCAGTTTGAGCAAGACCTAGTACATCGAGGCCAGCCAGAATCTTCGGGATGCAGTGGGTTTGAACCGCCGTTGGCTTCTTCATAGCTAATTCCTTGCAGGTCTGGACGATCCATTCCGATAAGCCGAGGTCGGCAAATGTAACGTTCGTGGATTTAGTGGTGAGTTCTGTGGATTTCTCAATCTGAATAGGCGCCTTCTGGGCGGTATTATCGACGGCGGTGGGGTTTTTTAGTGAAGGTTTATGGGTTTTCCGATGTGATTTTGAAAAAAGTGGGAAATTCTCGTCGACTGTTACTTCTTGATCCATGAAATCAAAGATGATGAACAACAATGCAAAGGGTTTCCAGGTTTGAACAATCGCAGCAAAAATTTGATTGCTTCACGGCCAATTGTTGAACTAGGGCGCAGTCTATCGCTCTCGCCACAAAGTCGTTCCAAGGTTCGAATTTTAAATTTTTTATTCTATATTTATTTTTCCTTTTCTTTTTGATAAAAGTTTGAATTTTTTTTTTTTAATTATTTCTCCTAAGATTCTCAAATTCTATCAATTATTACTCTAAAATTAAATTAATATTATAATTTTAACCCAATAAATATTCAAGCTAATTTGCCTATTAATTTTAACAAAAATAATAATAATAATATAAGAATTGACTAATTTCAATTAAATTAAATTTGAAACAATGCACAAATTAATCATTAAATAAATTTATCAAAATTAATAAAATTTAAAGATATATTTTATAATTCATTGAATGCACATGAAACTGATCAAAGGGTTAAAATTGTTACACTTTTAATTTTTTCTTTCTTAAAGCTTTTAGAAGCTAATTTATGTTTTTAGTCATCAATTTTTTTTATTTTTATTTTTAATTTAGTCTTTAATAATTTTTTTAATTAGCTTTACCAATATATATATATATATATATATATATATATGAAAAAAATTAAGAGGTAAAAATAAAGTTACAAAATTAGAGGAATTATGAATTGAAAATTTCCATAAATGGCACCAATCAAGATGGCAGAGATTAAATATTTCATGAAACATGTTTGATTGCACTAATGGCAGGCATCTTACACATTAGAACAGTTAAATATATAAAGAATACAACACAGAGACGTTATTCAGCTAAGCCATTGATGCTTCAGCCAACAATACTCAAGGAGCTTCACAATTGATTCGGTCTTATTGCGCCGAGGGTGGGGGCAAGGGTGAGGGTGAGGGCGAGGCCGAGGCCGATGCGCCATCCAGTTATTTTAGAATGAATAAACTGGGGGCCTCTGTGTAACTCCTCCTTGGCTCTTGATTGCATCCAGCATCGTCAAACCAGTGAGCCCGTTCAACATCTGTGCAGCGGTGCGGGGTATATGTCTAGAGGTTGGTATCGCAGTTTATCCTTATGAGGCAGTGCTCCCTCCTACACAAATATCCAACTCAAAATTTACTTAACCCTTATGTTTAGCATCACTTCTTGATTTTGTTTGCAAAAATGATACCCAAATGAAAGTGAGTATAAAGGGAAAGCAGAGGACTTGGGAAAAAGACCACAACAGAAATGAATATCAGTCTGTTTTTGTTTTTTCTATTGTTTCTTATTCTTTTGCTTTGATGGTGCCCTAAACCTCATACCACAGGGATAATTAGAGTGTGAATTGATTAAAACCGGTGATAAATTGTCATCTTTGGGCTTGCCGTCATCTTTAGGCTTTCCTTTCTAGGCTTCCCCTCTAGGTTTTAAAATGCATCTACTAGGGAGAAATACCCTTATAAAGAATATTTCGTTCTCTCCAACCGACGTGGGATCTCACAGTCCACCCCCTTTGGGGCCTAGCGTCCTCACTGGCACTCATTCCTCTCTCTAATCGATGTGGGATCTCATAATCCACCCCCCTTTGATACCAAGCGTCCTCGCTGGCACACCACCCAGTGTCTGAGCTTTGATACCATTTGTAACAGCTCAAACCCACCGCTAACAGATATTGTCTTCTTTGGACTTTTTCTCAAGGTTTTAAAACGTGTTTGCTAGGAAGAGATTTTCAAACTCTTATAAAGAATGCTTCGTTCTCCTCCCCAATTCAATTGACGTGGGATGTCATGTAAATGAAGGAAAAGTAGGCTCTCTGCACATTTAGTTAATAGAAACAGGAAGACTTACCGCATCCAAGTCTATTTGGAATGGCTTGATGAAGTCCTCGAACATGGCTGGTGACAGACCCTTCATTTTCTCTTCAACTTCCTACAATAAGGAGCGAACAAAGGGATGATAAGGTATATCCAACTTGTGATACCATGAAAACTCAATCAGATGAAAATGGTTTCAGTTCAAAACTCAAAAAGTGAAGAACAGATGAAAATAAAAGCTCCCAGTTTGGTACTAACACTAAACAATAATGATTAAACTAAACTTTTTGTATTTAGCTCCACAGTTCAATTGAAACTAGTAGCCTTTTCATCTAATCATCTTTAGTAATCAGGGGTCCATTAATCTGGATTTATACATATCGGTACACGTGTGTGCCTGCAAGACGATGTGTGATTCTTTTGTGGGAGGTTAAGGGGAACTAATAGCACTACAGATCGAGGAAAGCAAAGTAGATATTAATACCAATCCAGTTATTCTAGACTTTTCCAGCAGTTCCTCAGTAAGCATTTCAAGTATGTGCCTGTTTTCCCTCAGACCATTCATCGCCAATTCCTCTGTCTCTTCAATATACTGCAGAAAAAGTACTCATAGTTTCAGAAAATATAGATCTTTCAAATATCAAATGATGAACTCTGAAGAACGATCGCGGGTTTTCTTTTTCTATCTATATTTAACGAGTCGAGGGTTAATTTTATACCAAGGAACTTGCAAGATACTTCTACTTCAGACAGACTGTTAGGTATACTGTGATTAAGACAGAGTATTGGCTACATCGACAGTATATTGCATAGTACACGGGTTTGTTTCTGATTTGGTGGTCATGGTGGAAATCCATGGTTATGTATGCACCCAACCCATACTTTTCTCTGTATGATCTCCTTCTTATCAATACTAACAATCATATAAATTCCTAAAACGTTATGGATATAAGCCTTCCAATCACTATTTGCTATAAATATTTGCATGTTAGCAAGATATTCAAATATATTGTATTTTCATCTACTATTTTAATGCTAGCTACAAGTTAAATTGATGCAATGATGTGAATCATGTAATGCATATAGACTCGATTTGAAGCAACTAGAAATACCCTTGCCAGCTCCCGGGAAAACAGCTCAGACAATTCGGGCGTCATGTTGGCCGGAATCACTTGTGGATCGTCCCACTGACACAAGAACGAGGCAAAGATAAGCCAGTTAATTGAGGAGGATACATAATCAAAAGTGAACATTATTGAGGTTATTTTGTCATCATTTTAATCACTCGAGAAAAATATTACCCTGTATCTTATCAATTCTCCATCTGGATTATCGGGTCGATCCGCCATCCCAATATTCTTGGTTAAAGCAGCCAGCCCAAGTCTTGAATTCTGAGGGCTAATTACCATCTCCCGAGCAATCTGAAAACAAGTAATTGAAGAAGATTAGTTTTGGATAAAAAAAAAATTATACATTATTTCCTTGCCTGCCATTTGATGAAGATAGCTTTCAAGTACTTCATACCAAAGCAAAAAAGCCCAGCTTCCTACCTTTTATGACAAGTAGTTTAAAACAACTCGAGTGTAAGAAAATAATTGTAAGTTTAAGGGCCGACCTTCGTTATTTTCTCTAGGTCATCCTTTCCTCCGTCAGTTATGTCATTACCAAATATAAGACGTTCAGCACAGCGCCCTCCATGAGCTACCACCATTTGCATTTTCATGTAACCGAAGGTGGTGTAACCTTGGTCGACCATATCTTCTCGAGGGAAGAAAACGGTAATTGCAGTTTCCTAATATTAAAAGAAAACCGGGTTAATAGATAATCTTTCCAACTAAACTAAGTGGCAGCGAAATTCAATTTCTACGTTAGAAATTATACCTTGCCCCCTGGTAAAAGCTGAGAAAAGGCGTGCCAATCAAAACGAGGGAACAAGTGAGCTAATAGTATATGACCAGCTTCATGTACAGCCAGCAGTCTCCTTTTCTCAATAGACACCTATTGCACAGTGACCGAAAAGTAATATTATCAATACTAACGATGATAAGACTATGAACAGTTATCACCATTAGATCCCCCCGCCCACCCACACACACACACATAGGGGGGGCACGAGCGCGCACACACACGTAAAAGAGAGAGAGAGTGAGAGAGATAGGGATTTATACTCTTTCTTCACTTCTCTGTTGCTCTTCTTCAGTGAGAAGTACACCCATACCCTCAAGCAACTGTTTATCTAGAACATCAACAATGTCTTGCTGGTTGATTTTGGAGTGTCCCTTCCTCACCTAGTATTATCGAGACGAAATTAAACATCAGAAGTGAAAAGTATACATAGTTTATACCAAGAAGTGAGAGATGTTAATACACAAATAAAAATAAAATAAATACTTTGTGACAACTTTCAAAACAACTGCAAGATACTTGTGTGAGTGCTCGTACACTTAAAGAGAAAAGGAAAAAAAACTTAAATCGAGGAACCTAAAAACACAAGGTGTCGCACCAACCAAAATGATTCCAAGTATTCATATGATCTCTGAGAGGCCAATTTGGCAACCATCGAGACGTTTACAATAGTCAAACAGATTTCATACATCGGGGAATAGAAGATGAGTAAAAACAAAATACAACACTTCATAGAGACTAAGCTCAAAATAATGGGTACTATACATAAAAAATCCAGCCACGGACATACGTACACAGAAGTGTATCTCCATTCACAACAACCGAGGGCAACGAAAAAATTATTAAATTAAAATCATTGCGTCATGGAAAATAAATTTTCTGACACTACAGATAACATACGCACCTTTCTTTCGTTCTTTTTTTCTTCTTTTTTTTTTTTGACAAAACTTTCTTTTTTACATTGATTAGAAGGGATTTTTGTATTAGTCGTTTGTGGGAGCCCGACCGAGGCTGTTTTATCTCTCTCTCTAAATATAAGATGTTTTTTTTTTAAATAAGAACATAGAAAAAAAATGCTTGTCAAGAGAATGATGATAACGTGGTTCATCTATTCTAAAAATTCTTAATTTCATCCTTCATAATTTATGTTTTCCCTCAAACTTTTGTTCTTGATGTGTGGTGTATTAATCGGATAAAGAAAGAACCGTTCCAGGTATTAGGTGTTATCCAATTACAGAAATATGCTTCAAAACCAGAGAAGCTTTCTTTCTGCTCAAAAAGGATGTTATTCAAGAGACAAAATTAATAGCGTACCGACATTATTGCTGCCTCATTGACAAGATTCTGTATATCTGCTCCAGAAAAACCAACTGTACGGAAGACAAGCTGTTGAGT